CAACTACTAAAGAAAATTCATCAAGAATATTGCAGCATTTCACAACCTCTCAATAGTTTTCTATGATTGGCCTGAGAGATGTAAAAAATCATTCGAATCTTTGAAATAAGCGCTCATGAAGCCTCCATTATTGTAGTTTCCGAATTTCACACCGAACGACAAATTCATTCTCACAGTAGATGCAAGCGGTTATGCGTTAGGGACAGTTTCATCAAACTCAGATGAAAGACCTATTGCATACGCATCTTGAACTTTAAATGGGGCTGAAAAAAAATATTGTACTATTGAGAAAAAGTTCGGCCAGTTAAACATTTTAGACATCATTTGTTTGGTCATAAGTTCGTTATTCTATCCGACCATCGTTCATTAATATATCTGTTTAACATGGATAATCCATCTAGTCGGCTCACAAAATTCAGATTGACTCTGGAGGAGTGTGATTCCAATGTGAAATAAGTCAAAGGTTCTGAAGATGTGACAGCTGACGCATTGTCGTGTGTAATGCTGCTATTCTGCACACCAATACAGACTCTGTAGGCTATGTTTAATTCCATATTTATAGAATGTGAGGAAATCGGTTTTCTGCCAGTGCGATTTCGATATATTTATATAAAATGACATTACATAATATGTTACATTCCTATGGACCCAATTTCCTCACTGTAAATGTCAAATCACTCATGTAGGTAATAATATGGATGTTATGAGAAATCTTCATATATTTTTATATTCATCGTTCTAGAAGAAGCTGAAAGTTATAAGAAATAAAATTTGTTACTCATTTATAATAGTATCAGTCAAGTTTAAGAATTACTTGACCAGAAAAAAGGACAATTAGTCAATGATACCATTGAAATGAATAATAACTATCCTGAAATATCCATTTTCTTTCGAATCTATCAAAACCAACCCTGAAATGTGGAGTTAATGAGTAGCTATGAAGTTAGCCATCAATCAATATTCAGTAAGAGGACAGGTGTAGATCTCGACACGGGGTTGAGTGTTTGGCAGGATTCCATCCTCTGTTAACTCAACATGATCTGTAAGTATGACAGTTACAGAGTCTTCATTCCACAAACCTTGCGTTAATATTTGAGTTTCATAGATGATTGGCAGAATAGCAGCATAAGTTTTATTGACTCAAGTGAATTGAAAGATATGAGTGGTACAGTGACTGAAAGTATGAGAATTTTCACAAGAGCTCCAGCAAAGACTGAATTGCAAGAAAGATCATGCAACAAATGATATCTCCATGAATGATTGGGTTGATCACTCTGTTGTAGTGAAAATGTTGAAACCTCAAAGTGATCAAACTGTTGAGCTACGCCCGATATCGAACAAAAAATTTGAAGAAATGGAATCTAAGTACTTAGGAAGGGACATGAAACATCGAATTCAGATACAACATATGAAAATTGAACTAGATTAATGACTTCAATTCTAGAACAATTTTCTTTAACCAGCAATTCCCATCAACGTCTCACTCAGGTACGTCGTTGAGGCATCTGGAGAAATCATGAGAGGAACATGATATTTCACAGTTGATAATCATGAAAATTGCTGACAGTACCCATGTTTCAAAGGATCTGAGAAATGATAAAATCAAGTATTGAAAAGGAAACTGAAATTTCCTATTATTGATGATAAACAGAAGGTAGAGGATGAATAACTGCGACAGTTAGTCATGACCGATTTCCATACATTGCCAACGGGAGGGCATGCAGGTGTGAACCGCTTGTATAATAACATCAAGAGTCTCTATTCTTGACCGTGCTTGAGGAAAGATGTTAAATCTTTCCACAAAAGATGTGACAATTGCCAAATAAACAATCGAAGACAAATAAGGAGCCATTGACAATAACCACAATAGCTACTTCTGCCCACTTCCGGTGGAATTCCAGCGAAATGAATACATTTTAACACTCAAATGTGATCTAACTGAATTCGTAGAGGCATATCTCATACGTGAGGCTACGACAGTGGCGAAATCGTTCGTAGAAAATATTATTCGACCATATGGAATTCCTGAATCTTGTGTTACAGATCAAGCAACTGAATTCTTGTTAAACTCATTCAGAGAAGCTTGTGAACTATTGAATATTGAACAATTGAATTCTATTGCATATCATCATCAAACATTTGGAGCTGTTGAAAATACACATAAACATTTGGGAGCATATCTTCGTATGGAAGTATCAGAAGGAACCGATAATTGGAGCTCTTGGATTTCATATTGGTGCTTCTCCTATAATAACACAGTTCATTCGTCAACGCATTTTACACCACATGAACTTGTTTTTGTGAAATCAACCAAATTACCTTCTAGACATATCAATCACGAAAAACCTCCATATGATCCGATGATTATTCGAAGGAACTTAAATATCGTTTACTAACAGCATGGAATGACGCACGTACTAACTTCTTACTGCTATCGAGAAACAAACGGAAATACGAATAAGACAATGATCATTGTAAAAATATAACATACAGTGTGGGAGACTCAGTTTTAGAAGAAGATAATGGAAAGGCAAGTAAAATGGAATCGTTATACGATGGTCCATTTTCCAAGGTAGGTTAGCAATTAGGTATTGTAGATCACAGAAAACATCCCGGTTCGAACTCTGAGAGAACTAATAACTATTCTTTAATGAACCAATCAAAAGTGAACCATCTTCTGTTGTTCTTATATAACTCGAACATCGATATTCTAAGAAGACATTACATTACAACGACCTGGACAAGCAGGGGTAAGAAATTCTTGAGCGAGATCTGTGAGAGGCCGTTAACCAGCTATTGGGACTAGGGCAGGCCATGGCATCCTCACTGATGACGAGGTCTGGACTACGCCGGGATAGCATAGCGATGGAAGAGGGAACTACGGGAGTAACCAGTTTTTGCACGGCGTTCGAAGTAAACATATTGATGTCAAGATGTCCTTGTAGTTGTATGTACAATAAACACATCTTTGAAGAATTCGCGTTTCAACAATTGTATGCATATGCTGATGTGAGTTATGGTGTTGATATGGACGACAGAAGATCCTACACAGGTTGTTTTCTAACAATGGTATGTTCTGCGATGAGTTGGTCATCTCGTGAACAGCAAACATAAGCATTATCGAGCAAAGGAGCAGAGTATATTGATTCAATAGAAAAATCCAAAGAAGCTGTCTACTCGAGAAGATTTGTCACCTTCAAATTATGCTTCATAGTTATAATCGAAATTTTTTGTCGCTCAGAAAGTCTGAGTTTCAGTATACCTATCATAGAATCGAATTCACAATGGAAAGAAAATATGTTGCTCACAGTTTAATTCCAGTATCAACTACCAGCACCATTAAATACTTAATATTCAGCAAAACATTTGTACCAGCTAGTAGCAATTCACTCCACATCAGTCTTGCAACGATTAATATCTTCAAGAAGTGTGAACACATCAGATTCCATCTTCTGGTTGTCACATTCATTGTGATTTATCCCGTAGAAATTACCTGAAATAAGAAGTTATCTTGAGAATGTGAACAAAACGAAGGTAGACTTACCACAACATTAACATCGCCTGCGTTCATATTCCGGATATGTTTTCAGGCCTATTACAGCACATTGAATGATAATTATTCCCAGAAAACCAAATGAACCTTCCATTGTTTCAATTTCCATTATTAGTGACAGCAAGTTGATTCTAACTAATGTAGATCGTCAAGAGTGACATTTCGATTCGTTGCATTGTACCTACCTACCTGCGCATTTTTGTAGCCACATGAAGTTTTCCGAAGACTGTCAAGAGTGCGGCTATATCCATCATGGGCACCAGAACTCCTTTCACCTTTGGCGTCGCAGGAGGTTATTGCCTCATTCATCCTTCCTCAAGCAAATACTCATTCATTATAAAATTGTTCCAAATATTCATATGAGGTATAGTTCAAGAGTAATCAAATAATGCCAATTTTTTCCATTGGAGACGACCCTGATGATTGATCGAATTCGTATTTCTCCAGAATCTTCTCGAATCAACGATAGGCGCTGTCCCCTGTTTTTCCTGGAATATTTCTTGTGTGCGAAGTCTTTCTTTCATCGATTTTTTTGTTGCAAGATTATTTCTGTCTGGTGCAGTGATTATTCCTTTTGACTCTCCAAATTTGGATGTTGGGTTCCCTAAATTGGGGGATCATATATTCATCTGTAATTTGACTTGAAGATTTTCATGTAGTGTTGTAACGTTATTGAAGGATTACAAGTTGCATATTGATCTACCTGTCAATCAGTTCATAATATAATTCCAATACCTTCACCCTGCAATTCTTGTTGAAACAACACATTGACTGTTCTCTTTTCCTTTTTCAGAATATTTTGGTACGTCAAATCTCAATTTCTTGATATATGAATTTTAATATCACATTGGGTTTTTGAAGATACCAATCGTGCTATTGAGCCTACACGTTCGATTATTAGCTCTGAATGAAGCTATACATATAATCACATTACAACTCTTTTACCCATACCTCCTCTCTCAGGATGAGTATTAGAGTCATTAACTCGCTCAGAAAAGGGATAATACTGCAATTATCAACTATTAAGAAGAAAACATATCTTTTGAGGTCCTGCATCTTTGACATATATTCAGCTTCAGGAAACGTGGGTTCAACTTTTTTCTGAGAAACTAGAGGTTCTTCGAGCACCATACTCTCAGCATGAGTTTTTTGAAGCTGAAGACTTGGTTTCATTCTATTGGGCATAGTCTTTCAAAATCTAAAAAGTAGAATGTGCGAATTGGTGTGAACTATGGTGTCTGAAGTCATCGGCCTATTATGTTGAACAGTCCGTATTGGAATCACCTGGCACGAAAAAAAAACACCCATACCATGGCGACACTTCCAGTTTTAATAATCATTGAAATAATATTTTTTGAATATTTTTGCATTTGGTGTATGTTTTTGGTCGATATATATACTGATTCCAGCTGAACTTCGAATTATTAAAACTCCCAACTCGACTTACTGCTGCTGAAGGATTGAAAACTATATCAGCTCCGTTGAGTCCAAACATCATCCAATTAATGGGGTGGTGACGACCATAACAAATTGATATTTTCCCGAATTCAGTCTGAAAAATGAATTTGGAAGTTAAAATCTCAAGATTTGTATGGGGAGGATGTATTTCGTGTATCGATCATCGACTGATGTAAGCCAGCCTCACATCATCATGAAATACAACAGGTTATACTAGAAAAATTTGAATACTTATGAGAAATTTCAAGAAAAGACTGTATTTTGTTAATCGGAATTGTTGATGTTCAAAATGCTATGAGGAAATCGAGATTGTTTGTCTAAAGATAAAAAAAATGAGTATATTTCACTTAAATGTTGAATATAAGTTCTTTTAATAATGCAATTGGGATTTTGTGAGATGAATGCCATTTATAGGAAGGATCTTTTAGTGAGGTTATTTACAATTGAATCAAAGTCCATACGAGGATTCATTTCATTGACATGATCTGCAAGAGCACATCTTTCTGGATGCAATCTACAATCGCTCCTGTGGGAGGTGATTCTGTTGGACAGGGATCTTTCAGATTAGCCTATATAGAGTTTTTCACACTCCTGACACAGGAGCGATTGTAGATTGCATCCAGAAAGATGTGCTCTTGCAGATCATGTCAATAAAATTAATCATCGTATGGACTTTGATTCAGCAAGAATTTTAGCAATCGAAAATAACCTCACTGAAAGATCCTTCCTAGAAATGGCATTCATCTTACAAAATCCCGAATGCATCAATAAAAGAACTGATATCCAACATTTAAGCGAAACAAACTTATTTCTTTCATCTTTAGACCAACAATCTTGATTTCCTCATAGCATTTTGAACATCAACAATTCCGAATAACAACATACAGTCTTTTCATAGAATTCCTCATATTCAAACTTTTCCAGTATAACCTGTTGAATTTCATGATCTGCCAGCTAAGTAATTAGTATGTTTCACCTCTTTCTGTTCCATTGGGTTGAGATTTGGAGGATTACTAACACTAGTAGGTACCATAAGGGTTAAGAATTCTGACTTACGACCTGCTCATGTCAACCTAAGGAAAAGAAGAAGAAGAAGCATTCTAACCTATATCTTTCAGATTCTTTAAAATCGTTTCAACCACGTCGGATTTGAAAATCCAAACTTATTCGTGAGGTAATAAGAAGCCTCTTATCTAACCATGATTATAACTTAATAATTTTTGAACTTGTTTTTCGTCTCATCAGTATGTTATTTTTAACAATTTTACAAATTCTAGAACAGAGTAACCATTCTCAATAAGTGTAAGTGACAAAGTTCATTCAATATTGTGAATTCATTATAATGCTACCAATTTTTGTAGTCTACCCTGATGATGGAAATATACATTTCCGAAAGCTCGGACAAATCCGAATGAGTACACATTTACTATTGCTGCATCCCCACTAGACTACTAGTTTTATCTCTAACTGGTTAGGTTGCTGACTAGTCACAGGTGAAACTAGGTATATTGGAAAATGCAGCAAAGTGAAAAGAATATTCCTTGAAGTTTGTATAAGCTTTCCATCATCAGGGAACTACAACAATTTATCATTAGGTAACATTGATCACGCAAAGGAATTCTACTTCCATCTTCCGTGAGGTTGTTCCACATCTATGTTAGTAATGGTAATGACAAAGTTGATAAAACGAACAACAAAAAGGATCAAACACAAATATGTGAATCTCCTTCTTCTTCAATCATCACCGGTTGACTGAATATTTATAGAAAAGTGGAAAAAGATGTCATACTTAAAATCTGGACTTGCTTCATTGAGTCGAAATGAAATCGAAGGTGCAGGATAGATATATCGATCTACATCTTATTTTGGAATGGGTCAATTGATTATTTTAATTTGTGATGAACAAACATTTTATGAGAGAAAATTTGAGATTTATGCAATTACTCAGGAAACACATTGTGGAGAATTATTTGAAGTCATGGATTAATTTTGGTTATCAATTCGTGTGTGATAATGATTCATATCTAGAGGCAACGGGTAAGCATACATTCCACTCAAGTGATCTCCATCAGTTCTTGTGCATTCAGGTTCCTGAGAACTGAAGGCCATCTCAAGAAAGATCCTTTTTATGTTATGTATCGTTTTTATCCAACTGTTATATATTTCATGAAACGCCACTGACAGGTGAAGTCAATCCCGTTGTGAGTTTCTCCCAATCATTCTTATCATTCATATGATGGTCTTAATCTATGCAACCAACACTACTTCTCTTCTTGCTTTCTGCTAGACTGTGATGTGAAGATGCCTTTCCGCCGACATCAGGTGTTGTCGGTCATGCTCGCAACTGTCGTTGCCAATGGTTTTAAAATTGAATATCAAACATATTCAGCCTGATAATAGGGAAGTTATTTTTTTGTTTCATATAATATTCATTCCTGAGTACCAACAAGCAAACATCTTTTGACCGGATAGAATAAGAGGTTGAATGAAGGAATAAAAGAGGAAGATTAAGAAAATGACAGACAAGTGACAAGTGGAACACTTCCTTCGATGCAACTCGATTCAAATGATTCGATATCTTGATTTTTCTTTGCCGAGTGAAGTCGATTTTCCTTTTTTCTTGACAGGAGGCTAATGTGATGCAGGGGTGAGCCACTCACTTCGATCAAGTTGAAGAGCAAGTCTAAATGAATGCAATTTTATAGGGTTTTCTGGAGAGATATTTCGGGACCTAAATGCTGCAGGATATCTGCTGCCTCAAGCTCTTTCAGCATGCCATCGAGCAAAGGCACCACTCAAAGTGTCTCCTGTCGGAGCCCTCAGTCACACTGAGTGACCATCATCCTCCTATCATTGCCACATTCCCTTATGGCAGTGGTTGGACAGCCTCCAACTAATATCCAAGATTTTTGACTGTCACCCTGCATAAATTGATTTATCGGATTTCAAGACATCTCTGCAAGCCACTTGTCATGATAGAACGTAAGAAAGAAATTACTCACTACTTTAATTTACAACAACATATTATTCGTCCTCCATTTGAATATGTGACAGCAAAAATTCATGAATTTTTCCTGCGGATTTTATTTTGAACATCATGATGTGAGACTTGAATTGAATCAGTGGTCTATAGCAAATTGAGTTATACAATAATGTGTTTACATATCCACATGGTGTTTAGTGGACTGAGTTACATTGTCAACATAACTCTTTTTTGTGATTTGAATCATATAGTATTGGTTACTCACATTCCAATATTTTATGCGTATATTATTCTCATGTATAGAATTATTCATAAAGGGGATATTAAATTGTAGATACTACATGGTAAATCTGGTTCCATCTCACTGACTTTCTTTCAGCTCACTTGCAGTGAATATCAGTCAAATCCAAGCTCAAGTTTTTCTGATAGAATAAAATTTAGTGGCGTCCAGTATGATTGACAATAACAATTACATCTTCAGATTCAAATCCATCCCCAGTCCTTCTGACATAGTGCTGTCGTGCTGTATAACCAATGTATTTTTTATCACAATCCTGATAAGGGATACATGCCATTGAGATGTCGGTAGGACTTTATCTTTCGATTTGAAGAAAAACCGATTCCACTGTTGAAACAGCTCTTGATAGTTTGGAAGCTAGCTCACTGAAGCAAATTTTCATTGTGGGTATGACTCCTATTTCCAAAATATCTATAAATATTCAGTCAAGAAGTGATGATTGAGAGAAACGGCGATTCACTCAAACTATAACAGTATTAGTACTTGCCGTTTTAATAATGCATTTTCACAATTCACATAATACAATTTAACTTATTCACATAATTGTGTTTGATACCGTTTGTTGTTCATACCCTCATCCATGTCATTATTGTCTTATACAATCTCACCGACACTAAAATTCATGTGGAACAACCTCACCAAAGATGTAGGTGAAATTCCTTTGCAGAATCAATGTTACCTTTTGATGAATCGATGTATATGTATATGTATGGATTGATCGATAAATCGATGTTCATCGATGAATCTATCGAAGGTTCTTTCATTGATCACGATCTGAGATTGTTATATGAATTTACGATACGAATATAGTACAATATTTCTTCTTATATAATACATTCATGGTATTATTTCCTATTCGATTCATGAATCTAAGAGATGAAATTCACACTATTTGATTGGAATAACTCCATGAACAATTTTTTTCCAGTTTACTGCACAGTAGTAGTGAAGTGTAACTAACTCATAATGGCATTATCAGCTAGTTCACCGCTCTATCCATCACTCAACTCATACTAGTATCGTGATGTTTAGTTTAACATATGAGCAGTGAATAAAAGACGAACATTAAAACCATATCATCCAGTGTGAAAATCCATGGGGGAATGAAATCTCCAATACAATCCTTGGACGAGTCGATTTTTATTTTTCAAAATCTATTTTTGACCTGCAAATTATCAATCATCTGTCCACCTCATGTCAACTATATCTACCCTATTTTCAGATCGTGAAAGGAGTAGAGCTTCAAGCTACATCATGTCGAAAATATATTTCGAATCGAATTCAAACAATAGTCTATATTTCTTCAAATTCGGTTGAGCCATATCTGCAAGACAGTAGTCGGAAAATTAGGAGTTCTATAGTATCACTTTCACAGTCAATTTACCTACACTCAAAATATCTATTTCATGCCGAATGTGTTGGGAATTATCATAAAATAGGATACTATGAATATGATTTGTTACCTTGACATTGAATATTATTGAATAAATTGTTTTCTTGAAATACAAGACTTGTCAGTCATTCCCTTATTGAAAATTTTGACTATTCATCTGAAAATTGACAAGTTCATCAGGTTATGGGCCCAGAACGTTCATAAAGTTGTCTGGAACAACTTGTGAGAAGATTTTGGAGGTATTTATCTGAAAGTTCCTCTTGTGATGAACATTCAGATACCGAGTGTTGAAATTTGACGTCATGGCTATAGTTCTTCAACTTTACCGTCCTTTGACAAGTTGAAAGGCAGTGAGAATTATAAAACTTGGAAATTTGCCATGGAGCTATATTTATCCGCCGATGATCTTTTTCGATATGCTGCTGGTTCAGTAGAAGATTTCGACGCTAATGTAGACCAAAAAGTCAGAGGAAAAATAGGTTTGATGGTAGAACCACAACTCTATGTACACTTGGTTGGAACGAAAACGGCTAAAAAAGCCTGGACAAATCCTGATGTACAAAGGATTGAAATATCAGAAAATGCTGATTCTGAACACTCCATATCTGAAGGTGAGTCTTCTTCAGTTGTTGGGACTGATGTAAATAGAGCAGGAGATGAAACTAGTGATATCCTTGGAGACGATATAAATGTTGAACGCAGGTATCCACGTCGAGAAAGGAAAACTAGAGAATTTCCAGGCTTTATGGTCTACAAAACAACTGAAAATAACATGCATGATGATAATCCAGCTACAGTTTATAAAGCACTGACTTGAACTGACAAGCACAAATGGCTCGATGCAATGGCTGAAGAATATAATTCAATACAACAGAATAAGGTCTGGACACTTGTTGAAAAGCCAGTAGATGTATCTCCTATTCCATGCAAATGGGTCTACAAAGTAAAAAGAGATGCAAATGGTGAAATTTGTAGATACAAGATGATGGACTGTAATCCTGTGAAAACACCCATGGAATCGAAATTGAAACTATGTTTTCCTGAAACCAGAGATATACCGGATGTGCCATATCAGAGTCTCATTGGTGCAATTATGTATTTAGCTTTATGTACTCGACCTGATATATCTTTTGCAGTGAATTCATTGAGTCAATTCAATTCGAACTATTCAATCGAACTGTGAAAGCATGCAAAGAGGATTCTGAAATACTTTATTTATTTATTTATTTCATTGTCATCAAGATACAAACAGACAAGTAGTCCACTAAAGTAGGGAACTATCGATCAAAGTTTGGTATTCAGGCCTACTGGAATTAGCCTTATGGGTTTTATTGATGCTGATTGGGGTGGAAATGCTATAGATAGGCGCTCATTCAGTGGATTTGTTTTTGTTTTTGCTAGGGCTGCAATTCCTTGGGGTAGTGAGAAACAACGTTCAGTATCTATATCCAGTACCAAATCTGAGTACATAGCACTATCAGAAAGTGCAAAAGAGGCAGTATACTTGCTTAATTTGCTAGGAGAACTCACAGAATGTTCTGAACCAATGATTATTTACAATGATAATCAGAGTGCCATAAAATTGTCAACTAATCCTGTTTTTCATAGCAGGACTAAACATATTGACAATCGGTTCTATTTTATTCGTCAATGTATTGAAGATAACACCATAAGTCTCAGATACATGTCAACTAGTCAGATGCCGGCGGATATGATGACGACAAAAGCATTGTGTGGATCCAAACATAATGATTGTATGAAGCATATTGGTTTGCTATGATATCAATTTTGTAGGTTGTATCCAACGAGATTAAATGTTGAATTAATTCATTACAGGGTGATTTTGTATTCCTAGTTTAAGGGGTAGTGTTGAGAATTATCATAAAATAGGATACTATGTATATGATTTGTTACCTTGACATTGAATACTATTGAATAAATTGTCTTCTTGAAATACAAGACTTGTTTGTCATTCCCTTATTGAAAATCTTCACTATTCATCTAAGAATTTACAAGTTTATCAGAATGTCCGTCTACCCATATGTACAATGTGATTGTGGGAATAACTGTTCCAATATACATAGGCATTGACGGACGTTCAGTATGAAAATCTCATTGGAAATACAGGAAGATTACCTATACAAGTGATACAATGAAACAATCAACAATTCAGACTTAAATTACAACAAATTCCGAATCTGTCCACTCCTCTCTAGATATTGCTCAACCGAATTTGAGAATGAATGAAGCTACACCTAACCTCACCTGACCCCTCGTACAATTAAAAAATTTTGAAGGGGTTGATCTGTAGGGTAGGGGGTGGGCAGGTGGTTGAGAATTCCCATGTCAAAAACTAGATTTTCAAGAAATAGAATCGATCTATCCGAGGATTTCCTGAAATGAATTTTCGTTATGGATATACGGATTATATATTCCATCATAGTTTCTAAATAGCGGGATCCAGGATGAATGTTATCATAGATGTATTATGAATTCAGGAGCTCCAACAGTTGGTATACCTAATTAGCAAATAGCCAGATTTGACAGGTGCTGGCTGTTTGCCCCATCAATTTTATTGATATTTTTTTTAGGAGCGCTTTCATAAGGGCACGTGGAACCCCTTATTTATAAAAAACCGTTAATTTCTGGTGTTGTCAAAACAAACCTTCTAGCAATTACCCTTCATATTCCAATTCGATATATAAAATTTCAATGAGAATAATGGTATGTGATCTCACAGCAAGGGACCCTCTATTTATTGAGAACCCGTTATTTCATTCATGATTTGATTTTTTGACTAGTAGCATTGACAACAATTCCACAATTAGTAGCATCAAAAACTCTCAACTCCAAGTGAAACTTTCAATCAGGCTGAAGATGGTCTTTCATGAGACTGAAACATGTCTCTTATGATTGTGTTACAACACCATTAATTTTGTGGGGATGACTTCGAGCTTTCCTTCCTTCCTTCGAAAAGTTCCACTTCACTTTGAATAATATGGACTCCTACCAAAGATAAATACCTATATTACTCACCTCAAATACAGGATGGCCTGTATTCCCTTCGGAATAATAGATACTCTCGCAGGAATTTTCTGCTGATGATATATGGTTCTTACGATGTTTTCCAATATAGTTACCAAGATTATCAATTACCACAGCAGTATTCCATATAGAATCGCCCATAACCTCATCACGCTCGAGTATTGGGGAAATTATAACCATGTTGTGTACTTTAGCCAACTGAAAAATAAAAATAATGCTGTAGAATTGAAGATGATGAGACCAAAATAATTTTTTCGAATAAAAGTAGGTTTACATGGTAATGATTCGTTCACGTAGCCTAATTCAATTTCAACATGACGCAAAGGACACCTCAAAAGAGTGATAGGCGTTGGCGTTGATAGAATAATACTTTCATTTTCTGTGAGTAGGTAGCAACTCGAATAGCACTCAAATCAATGAACCAATAACTAACTTTTCTCTTTTTTTTCATCTTTTTTTTTTATCGCTTGGAGCGCACGAAAGGGAATCTCTATAATGTTCAAAGAACATCGTGCGTTCCTAGGGAGGATAGGGACAGGAGGTAGGTATTGGAATTTTTTTTGAACTATTGGAGATTATATGTTGTTGGGAATACTTTAATATATCTACCAGTTCTACGCTAATTTTTCAAATTCTGAGCCACTTTTCCCAGATTCTACAAAAATTCCCTGTTGCATGGTAAAAAGCATCATAAGATTCCATGTGAAGGGAAGCAGATCTTACGCCAGATTCAAGGACTTCTTTCGTGAATATCAAGGTCCATTATTCAGCAGAATTTTGTCCAATTCAAATTCATATATCTGAAAGTTGACGAGCGGGCTAACTGCACGCCGATGATGAGAATGGTGATAACACATCGACAATAACAAAATGAGAAAAAACATGATATATTGGGTATCTGAGGAAACTCTAGCCGGAAAAAGAAATTTGGATAATATACATGGTGACCCCACTTTTTGCCTAGCTCAGCAGACCAGCTCAGATAGCGTATGACATTTGATGGATGACATATGCCACTGATGTAACTTTTGGTGCTTCAGATATCGCAGAAAGCAGTCGCTATACGGATGACATATGCTGCATGCCGCAAATGATGCTCCCGGGGCTTTAAGCCATACTTGAAGCAAACGCTCTGTATTATAGGAATTGAAAAAACATATGCAGGATGAATCGGAGAATAGGTCATCTCACTTTTGTCTGACTCAGTGGACCAATCAGAGACCTTTATGACATTTAACGGCTAACGTAAGCTATTTGATGGATAACATATACCGTTGATGTTATAGTTTATTCAAAAACAAATGCAGGGTCTCGTGCCGCACCTGCAGTCACTTCAAGAACACCGACACCGTATAGTGCGGGATATTTTGTAATTGATATTGGATCGAATCGAATGAAGTTATATAAGGCAAGGTACAGAGCAATTGGAAACTTTGAAGCATTTCTCAGTACGTATTCATCATAAACCTTTGAACACAACCCATTGGAGACAATCTGTCCCCAAGGGTTTCGTTAGCAGATCAGCAATATTATTTTTTGTAGGTACATGAAGGATATCTATATCCGTTGCAAGGACTCTTTCTGGAACATAATGGTAATGCATGTCGATATTTTTACTTCTTTGATGTTTTGCTAGATTTTGCGATGAATGAATTGGAGCCTGGTTATCACAAGGTGACATCAAATTGATATCAAGTTTCAAATCATTCACAATATAGGCAATCCTTGTCTACACGTAGCAGGCAAAGCCATGTTCTCTGCCTCTGTGGTGGATACAGCGACATATTGTTGTTCCTTGATGGATACCCAACATACAGCTGCGCGTCCATAAAAACCAACATATCCGCTATAAGATCTTTCATCATCGAGACAGTTGGCAAAAGAAGCATCACTGAACATCGGAATCGTAGGTGAAAATGTTTGTTTGTATATCAGTCTCTTTCTCATTGATCCTAACAAATGTTGGAAGAATTTAGGATGGACTGATGTTGGATCGACACAAAATTTAGATAATACGTTGACGGTATGCGCTATATCTGATCTCGTTCCCATCGCAAGATGTAGTGAGCTTCCAATCTGTGATTGTTACAGTTCCTCCATCAGTCGCTTTTTTAGGTTGTACACCAGGATCCATTGGTGTGGTAATAGATTCACAGTTCATCTTATCAAACTTTTGAAGACCTTTACGAATATGAAATACTTGATGTGAAGTTCCTTGTGCTTCATTCCATTCAAACTGTACTGACAGAAGCATCCTGGGTTCTCCCAAGTGTGTTACTTCGAAATTTTTTTTCGAGAAGAGTTTCAATAAGTTGAACTTTTTGTTCAGTGGTTTTAAGAACTCGAATGTCATCAACATAAATCGCCACAATTCGTCGTCCATCGTCAAAAACAGAGAGACATGGTCCTGCATTGGATTGTTGTAGATCAGCTTCTTTCAGAACACACATCAATTCAAAATTCTACTGACGAAGTGATGGTTTCAAATCATATATGCTTTTTTTGAGTGCACATACTCTTTCTGGTTCAACATGTACACCTTGTGAAATTTTTGTGTATATTCTGAAATTCAGATCGCCATTCGTACATGCTGTTCTTATATCCATTTGTCTAGCAATTCTATTGTTATGTCCTGCATGTGCAATAAGAGTTACGATTATTATATATCGCACTACTGGTGAAAATTTTTCATCGAAATCTACACTAGGAATTCGACTGAATCCTTGTGCCACTAATCTCGCATTATTCTTCGAGATTGTTCTTTCATCTGATATTTCCTTTTTGAAAATTCACCGACATTCAACAGCTTCCTCTCCGACTGGCATGGCGACAATATCCCCGACATCAGTTTTCTTCATTGACTCTAGCTCATCACTGATAGCAGCAATCCATTTTTCAGATTCTGGTCCAGCAATTACCTCTTTATAAGATTTTGGCACATCCAACGCTACATTGCATCATTCGTCATCGTCATTGCATGCGAACGCTACGTCTGATGACAGTGTCAGAAGTTTGTTGTAGTTGGGGTTGGAAGGATCAAGAAAACACAACTGATCTCTGGTTCCACAAAAGATGTATTCAAAAACTTGCGACAGTTACCACAAAAATGCCGGTTGACATTCTCGGCATACAGGAATTACATTCAGTGCGGTGTCGAGTGATAATCTACCTTTTATTCTAACAATCTCCACTTTTATAGCTGACGCATAAAGACGCCTAAGTGTCACCAAGACGCCGTCGCGTGATGGTAATTGACCAATAGAAAAATGACATGCAAAATGGTAGGTATGTAGAACATTTGGAGTCAGCAAGCTTATTCGCGAATAAAATACCATCAGCATAAAAATAGAGATTGCAATAATTAATAACGCAATATGGCATCATGAGAATTAATGTAATCAAAAATAGTAATAAAATCAGTAGCACCTCGTAGAGGGTGTGAAGGGTACTTCACAACACCTCCCCCTTAATGTTGAAAATTGTACCGTGGGTTAGTACAATTTTCTGCTCTCTCCTCATCTTCATTTCTTTCTTGCACTTCCATCTCAGCTGACGCATGTGTCTGAGTAATTGTGCCATCTGTTTTCAATTTATTGTTTACACACATACTAGTAATTCTTGACCGAAGGCTGTAACCCGAAACTCCTAATAAAATGATTATCAACAATGAATAAATTGAAACGTCGTGAAAAGATAGCGGCCTGGATTCGAACAATACATTGTTATCTCGATTTGCTTGAATTTCTAACGAGTCAAGGTCTTGACTCAACCTTGTAAGGGTGTTCAAATCATTTGACTCTACGATTGTAGGAGCATTGAGTTTCAGAGACCTACTCGAATTTAATAAACTTAGATTAAAATGTATACTATTGGTGATATTCAAAGGTGGTACATAGCTTATTAACAACTCGTTTGCAAAATGTTGATGAGGTGTAAGAATCATTGTTTTTGTGATTGCTGAACAATTGGGGTTTATTCGAAATATACCAGTACCGTGTATTTTTATTGAAATACGGTTTTCGTCGTTTTTACAGTTTATATCAATATATTCTTCTGTCGGTACTGCATAGAGCCAAGAATTCTGATTCGCCAATTGGATAAAAATTGGAAAATTCAATTGTATTATTCGTCTTTCGCATGTTTTCGGAATTTCCTTAATAGGCACGAACATACTTGACTCACATCCGCCATGCAGATGGACTAAAAGAATAGGTTTTGTTTGCTCACAGATGTAAGTGTTTTGAATGGGAGATTTACACAAAGATAATTCAATATCATTCATCATAAAATAATGTTGTTTGACCATATCGATAATAAGATAGGGTTTTTGAGGCACGATAAAAGTAAATTTATTTTCTGTAAGTCTTGTTAGTGTGCTAGAAATTTTCATGATATCATATGTGCGTGGATCTACTAATGGAATCAATAATACAAAGGCAATCTTATTCTTATAATAGTACACATTGGTTTTCAGTAAATTATATAAAACATGGGTGTTTTCCATCAGCGGGCTGACTGGAAAGTTAAGTTTATCTGTGAAACTTTGAAGATTTGATAATTCTTTCACTAACCTCATTGGACTAATGACTAATGGGTGAAGTGACCCTTTTATTGCATAAATAATTATATCTAACAGGTTTTCCTGTTGTTCCTTGAAATTAGTTTGAATTAATTCCAAAAGGGTAACCAATTCATTTATTTTTAATGATAACTGAAAATTGTAATCGATTTTACTATGATTGTCACTATAATTACTGATAGCATTCTGGAATTCAATAAGTTTGGATTTTAATACTACAATATTTTGATCAAATTGATACATTGTTTTGTTTACGGAGTGTATTGTACCCTGTACGACGGACATTTGCTCCTTCAACAGTGTAGTTACGTGTTTTTCGTTATTTTTGATTTTCTCGATTTGGCTATTGTAATATTCAGCATCTTCGGTATCTAAAGTGCCGAACAGCGTCTTAGATGCAGAACCAACAAAATTGAATAATCCCCGTTTTGAGATTCTTCTAACATTGCCGTCAACACCTAACATTTCCATAATTAATTTATCCTGATCCATCATACGGCTTATAGAATAGTCTAAAATATTTACAATTGAATTACATTCTGTAGTTTCTATACGCCGTTGCACAGCTAGTGAACACAGTTTCTTAACTTCCTTATTATAAAATAAAATCGACTTGAAT